GCCCTTTATTTCGGCCCTGCCAACGCAGCTGGGCACGCCCAGAGCCAGCCCGGTCCCACCATTCTGACCGCTGCGCCAGCTCTTGCTAACTCATCAGCGATTTCGTTGCCCTTGATCCCTGAGTGCCCCGGGACCCAGACCAGGGCAACGTTGTTGCCAACCGATAGCCGGTCCAGCGCCGTCTTGCACTCCCAGACTAGCCAAGAATTGAAAACACACGCGCCCAGCGCGCCCAGGACCGCCCAACTATCTGAGCAGATCCTGATGCGCCTGCGCGTCGCACCTGATGCAATCAGTGTTTGAGCACATCCCATGATTGCCGCCACCTCCGCTTGGAAAACAGTGGCCCACTTCCCAAGAGGAAGCGCCTCCCTGACTCCCTTCCGGCATCCGTAGATCCCGGCACCGGCGCCCGTGTCAGTTCTGGAGCCATCCGTGTACCAGACGTCCCCATTTCTGACAACAGGCACCTTATGCCTCTCCCACTTCTCGCGACTAGGAAAATAGATCTTAAAAGATCTACTAAAGTCGCGCTTCACAGAGATCCTATCTTGCCTTATTTCGAACACGGCCCCCGTCAAGAGCTCGCGTGGAAACCGGGTGTGGGTCGCACCGTCCGTCCACTTATTCCCGCACTTCAATCTATATGCAGTAGCGGCCGCTGCCGTCACTATCGAGAGATGAAGTGGTTCAATGCCAAGCAGCAGTCCCATCGCCGCCACTGGCGTCGTTCTCATAGCACCCAGGGCGCTTCTCAGAATGAGAGCCCTGACGCGTTCCAGCAATGCCCGGGCTTTGGATACTTGGACCCTCGGCCACCAGACCACCGCCGCATAGAGCAATCTTGGCCGGAGCACTACAGAGTATATCCAGAAAACTCTGTCTGGCTGCAGGTCCCAAGTTTGCCCGAAGGTTCTTCTACACATCCAGAAATATGTGCAGGCTTTCTTGCACACCGTATCCAGGTGCAGCTTCCAGTTCAGTCTTTTGTCTAGGATGACTCCTAGATATTTGACCGAACTCTCAGGTATTAGCCTGACTCCCTCCAAGACGGGCTCCTGCACGGAGTCCACCTTGTACTTACGGGTGAAGATCACAAGACTTGTCTTTTTCGGATTTATCGACAGACCCGTCTCCCTGCACCATTCCTCGACCACTCCCAGAGCCCCTTGTGTGAGCTCGAGAAGTGTCTCTAGGAAAGGTCCTCGAATCAGGATAGCCAAATCGTCTTCATACCCAATCGATTCGAAGCCCTTGTCATTGAGCATTTTAAGTAGCCTGTCCGCCACCAAGCACCACAGGAGCGGTGAAAGAACTCCCCCCTGGGGGCAGCCCCTCTCCACCCATCCTTCAACACTCACCGCTCCTAGTGAGGTCGTCACCTGACGTCCAAGCATTTCCCGGATCCACTCAACCAGCTTCGCCGGAACGCCCCGCTTTGCTACCTCGGCACAGACCACCCTATGTGAGGTGTTATTAAAAGCCCCTTCGATGTCCAGGAAGGTGCCTGCCACAAAGCCCCCTTGCTGAAACTGCCGCTCGATGGCTGAAACCACCGAGTGAAGAGCCGTATCACTCGAGTAGCCGGCCCGATACGCATGCTGGTTCGGATGCAAACGATCACGGGCCAGCACATTGTCCCGTATATAGACGTCGACCAGCCTCTCCAGCGTTTTCAAGAGAAACGAGGTTAGACTAATCGGTCTAAAGTCCTTTGCAGAGACGTGGCTTGTTTTCACCCCCTTAGGGATAAACACCACTCTCACTCGCCTCCACGCCCGGGGCATGTAACCAAATAGGTCATTTATTAAATTAAAATTAAAAATTCATTCTCTTGTTATTTTTTATTGATAATAAAATTATGCGTTGATAAATGTTCACTGTTAAATATCCACTGTTAAATAATTTGGTGATCCTAAAAAGGATCGTTTAAATTATACTGAAACCAACTCAATAGTCGGTCCAGTATCCTTCTCGTACAATCACTATTTTAAACGATCCTTTTCAGGACCACCAAATTATTTAACAGTGGAACATTCATCAACGTATAATTTTATTATCAACAAAAAATAACAAGAAAATGAATTTTTAATTTTAATTTAATAAATGACCTATTTCTTTATACGTCCCATTTCTTCATGCACGTATCTAGATCGGAAGAGCACACGTCTGAAC